CCTTAATAATTTTTACTTAATTTAAAATGAGAAATATTGAAAATGTTACCGATATTATCGAAATTCTGGAGGAACTCTGTTATGTAGGCCAAATCTTGCTGAGCCATTTTATGTATTTCAGAAGGTATCGTCTCATCCATTAAGAACAAAATTGCTCCATATAACCAACGAAAGAAGGCCTTATAATTTACCACAGAATGATTAATGATCTGTTGCATTTCTCCAGATTTTAAAAGAAACGCTCCACTGGACTGTATTGCTTCTGTAACTTGATGCTCAGAAAGGCCAAGGACCTACAAATAAAAAGTAGTTAATAATATGGTTGAAAATTATCAAATATCCTCAAGATTAGTCAATGAATTATAAGAAAACAAAGATGATAATGAAGACAAATTAAACGAATATACGAACACTGTTAGTCAAAAATATGATTATAATAGTACAAACGAGTGCTGGGGAGTTAGGAAACAAGTTTGTTAGAATGGGTGTCACGAAAGGTTTGAAGGAAAAACACAATAAACCCGTGAGGCTGCAATATTTTCCAACAAGAAATGGGGAAGTCAGGCTTCTCCAAGTAGTAAAAAAACATTCCTTTTCCGTGTGCGCTTCACCAACTAGGTTTGTATCAGAAGATGAACTATACTGTGCATTTTAGTTCATATTATAGTTCTATGAGGTAGTAGTATGAACTATTATGTTTCTTCATTCAGAAAAATGTCATTACGATATTGTCTTCAGTAATGATTTTCAATATTTCGGGTACAACCTGGGGTACAATGGATTGATTAAAAGTGAAAGGAGTTTCACATGATTAAAATATGTCTAATAAATGAGTTACGACTTTTTCAAAATTTCAGAGTTGAATAATAAACTTTCCACATTTTTCAAGAACAACTGATTTTTGGATATTTATTATGGGTTTCAAATTCGGTTTTTCACTTTGTAACCAATATATCGAATATATCCAGCAAATATGCACTGTTGGGACATTCAATGTAAAGCAAATAACATAAAATTCAAGTACCAGGGCAATTTCAAATGAATGTAGTAGTTTTGGAACACAAAGTAATCTGAGAATACATTACCCTACTCAAAAATATGTTGTAAACAAGAGACCAACAAATAAAATTCTTCACTAGATTTGAATCATACCAACCTCATACCTGTCTTCTAGTCGAGACATTCCTCTTAATTCGGCAAGATGATATGATACATTCTGTCCAAATTTGGAAACATTTTTCAAAAGTAATCTTTGAATATTGGCGTAACTCATTTCTACTGTCTGTCCAAACTTTTCCAAACCCTTCTTTGTAAGATCAGTCATTAAAAATTCTTGTAACTCAGGAGAACAAATCCCAAATGTTAGCAAATCCAGAAAATCTGCAGTTACTCCTCCCTCTGGCACCTTTTTAGCATATTTGGATAGTTTGTGATCAATTTCAAGTAAAAAACTTTCCCATGTTTCTGTTATGTTTGTGATTGTATTTGTTAAATAACTAACAATGTCTAAGAGTTTCACATATTTTATAGCAATTGAAAACAATTCTCTAGTGTGTGTTTTGAGTATATTGGCATTGATTAAGACTATTTTTATATTCAGATCAGAGTCCTTTACAGTTACGAATATTTTACTAATATCTTCACTGACATGAATGCCTTCGATAGAACAACTTCTACCTAAATATTCATTAACATTTAAGATACAACAAGTAAAGCAACCAAAAATCCTGATATGTATGAATCCATTTTTGGTTCCAATTAAAAGTAAGTTGAATTCAGTCTGCTCCTGTAGAAAATTTGTTTCTTTTGCTTCCTCAGTAGAGGATGGACTATCCATTGTCGAGGATGATATAGGGTCTTTCAAATATAATTTTGAGAGATCCTGAAAGAAGATCTTGGTAAGTTGAAAATTCAAAAAAATTATAACTGAGCACTTTACTATATATTTCATGTAATCCATTTTACCATCATCCTGAATAGTGAAATTGTCTTTATCTGTTGTCTCCCCCTTCTCTTGGACCCAGGTTATACATGTTATTTCACTACTTGCATCTTTTACATTTAAAGTTTTCTTGTTTTCAACACTAATCAGCAAAACTTCACCTGAAAATTATTTAAGAAGTTGGAAACTTGACTTTCATCAAGGCATCTGAAGTGAATTTGAAAACCAATAATTCTGTGATAAGTAGTTACAGGAACAATTGTTGAAAGTTGAAATGAAAGAAATTCAAGAATCTAATGATGATTTGAAATATCATGCATTAGTACTTGGAAAAAATTATTTAATGACTTGCGAATTCAAATATTTTCTGTGTGAATACTAATATAATAAAAAAAATACTGGAACATTTGAACTTTTGGAAAAAAGTGAAAATTCCATCATTTTCTTAATTTTTAAGAATTTTCAATTTCCATAACTATTCCATGGTTTTCAGGTGGCTGGATACCCTGTTACAGTTCCGTTCAAGAAGATTTTAGAGCTTCAAACATTCGAAAAGTTCCACTCATCAATAACGAAAAGACCTATCTCTAATAATCCGCGTTTCGAACAAAACCTGTACTCTTTAGTTTCAACCTCTGTTTAAAATTATTGAATCATTACAGTACCTGAACTGTAACCCACTGCTAATATTTTTCCATCTGGCCTCCAGGCAATAGCTTTAACTTCTACATTTTCTTTAGGAGGATTGAGATTCCAAGCTTTTGTCCAAGACAATCTGTGAAGAGCTACTTCTCCTTTCACATTTGAAAAAGCCACAAGATCCATTCGATCACTCCAAACCATTGAATTGATTTCATTGGCGACACTTTTTTCTTCTAATTGCTTGATTGTTTGAAAACTAGTCATAGTTTTTAGATATATAAATGGCCTAGTTTAACTCTAAAATGAAAACGCGAAGAACACGAATTTATTTTAAAGATAAAATTTGAATGTTTTGTTTTTAATTCATGTTTTTGGTTATGTTCCTCTTGTTCTTCTTTTCATGGAATATAGGCGTGTCAACTTGATACTTGGCTGCCATTATCCGATATTATGTGATCTATCTAACTGCTAGAGCTAGAATTACCTATAAAACCTGAACGACCAGTGGCGTATGGCGTAACTGGGCTCCTCTGTTACAGAAAACACGGACTACTATTAGCTCTAATGAATAGGCGGAGTATCAGCCAAGGCTGTTTTTCAACTCAACCTGGGAGAAACTATAATAAAATAATATAAACACAAAAAAGAAATCAAGTCGAGTTAACAATATCAAAAAATTAGTTATTGTTTAGTTTAGAATATTCATTTTAGAAATGCCAAGGTCGGGAACGGATAAGAGGCTAAAGAGTTAAGTAAGTCTTCAGTCTTTTTTTAAAATTTTCAATGGTGTATGATCGAAATTCGCAGGGTAGTTGATTATAATATTTGGGTGCATTGTACGAGAAGCAGCGGGTGAAGATGGAAGATTTGTGTTTGGGGATGACCAGAACTGAGCTGTTCCTTGTAGTAAAATCGTAGAAAATGTTTTAAACTTTTTCAGTAAGTAATCAGGATGTCGAGTTTTCAAAACTTTATGTTGCATTGTTGAGGATATATGGTCGTATTTCCGTATACCGAACGAGAAACGTAGACAGCTATTCTGAATACGCTGTAGTCGGAGAGCATCCGATTGTTTTAAAGCAGGTCCATAAATACTGTCGCAGTAGGAAATTTTTGATATAATCAGAGACTCGCATAGTCTAAGTTTTAAATTTGTGTTGAGCAAATCACGATTAGGAAAAAGCTGTCTGAGAACGTTATAAGAAGATTGGTTCAGGTAACTAACATGTTTAGTACAGCGAAGTTCCAGATCAAACCACAATCCTAAATTTTTTATCTCGGCCACGGAGGGAAGTATTTCGTTTTCGATGCGAACTTGAAAAGTAGAGTTGGTGAGCTCTTTGTTCTTCTTAGCTCCGAACATCATTTTTGCGGATTTGTCAGAATTGAGCTTGAGCTTATGGGCTGTAGAAATGTCAAAGATGGCTTGGATATCTTCATTAATATATGACTGAGCAGATGTAGACTCGCCAGGCGAAAAAGAGAAATATAACTGTGTGTTGTCTGCATAGTGATGTATATTGCATTTTTTGCGAACAGATAAAAATCACAAATATACAAGCTAAAAAGCAAGGGCCCAAGAATAGATCCTTGTGGCACTCCCTTCAATACCGGTAGAGCATCTGAAACAACTTCATCCACAACAACTCTTTGAGTACAATTCTTCAGATAGTTTTCTAAGAGTGACACTGCTTTCCGAGAAAAACCGAAGTAGACAAGTTTGTCACACAATATCTCATGATCTAGACTAGAGCGTCAAATGCCTTGCTGTAATCTAGAAGTATTGAACAGGTCAAATTTTGTTCATCTGCAGCTTCAAAAAATCTTGTGTAATTGACAGAAGAGCCGTGGTCAGGGCCGTCGCCGTGGGGGAGATGGGGGGTGCCTCTCCCCCTGCTTTTTCGACTTGGGAAAAAGTTGGGAAGTGAAGATAGAAAAAAATAATAGTAAAAAAATAAATAAAAATGAGAGAATAGAAAGGGAGAGGTAATAAGGAAAGGGAAAGAACCAGGACAAGGTTGGGATTTCCCTACATGCATAACTTGGAGATCCCATACTTTGAAATTCTGAGTTGTTTGAAAAGTTCAAAAAAGTTTAATTTCTCCCAAGTAAGAGAACAGTTGAACAGTCCACAAATTGGGAGAAAACTGAGAAACCATTCCTCGAGATAACAATTACTTGTAATGAATGTTTGTCCATTCCATTTTATTCATTCTTTCGACCATTTTCAAGAGAATACTCCACAGTCTTGCTTAGAGAATTCAGGACCGGCAGAAAAAAAAGGGTGAAAGCATTCGAATGACCTATAAATAGTCATCTCTCAGATGAATAGGTCCAGTCATCAGCCGAAAACGTTTGTGGGTACTAACAATCGAAACGTCGTGAAGTGACTTGGCTTAGTATATTTTAATCATTATTTGTTTTTCATTGTCCAATTTTCAATTGTTGCTTGCATTTTATTATACTGTAATTTCATTTCAGCGGTTTTTGCTTGATATAATTGCTATTTTCAGCTATTCATCTTGATTTTATTGATTCTTTCAGGGATTTCAAATCATTTTATATCATACTAGTTGTTGCCTACGCCTTCGGCAGCGTAGAATTTGGTTTGTCACATTAAGTTTCGTGAGAGACCATTTTAAACAAATAGTTTCAATACTGTATTATCAACCCAAAACTTCAGGTTTCCAACTTCAAAACTAACGAATACAATTTTTGAACCCCTATTTTTCCACTTGGAGGTGGAAATTTCTGATTCCCTTTCTTGATGCTTATTTTCCCTATACAAAGAACCTACCTGCATATTTCGAAATTCTAGGTTCAGTAGCTTCGGATGTACGTTAATATACGAGCAGGCAACAGCTAGTAACTTATATTTTTACTTTAAAGATACAGTAACAAAAAAAAATATGCCAACTGCACTAAGTAATGAATAGCTTTGAAAATCGAATTATGTTACCAAACGGGTAGCGTTCTCGGCGATGACGTTTCATTACTTAGACCGCCCCTCTCCCCCCGCGCAACGTCCCTCGTCGTCTTACAGTAGACGTGACGCGTAATGGCTTACTGCGTTGCGTCAATTTAATCTTATTGTGATAACTTTCAAACGATTCGTACAAACTACTTATTGTAAAAGACAAAGTTTATCTATATAAAATAATTTTATCAATTTTCATAAGAATTTGACAAATATTCTAGAAAGTTCATTGTGAAAAAAGTATGCAATTTGATTGTATTTATTGCGCAGTATTTTGCATATAGTGGCTACCACATAAGTGGTAAATATATTATGCTATCGCAGACTTTCATTTACAACTATTTAGGATAAAAAATCTTACGATACATTATCTGCATGTAACTCCAATGGTATAGGCAGCGCACGCCAAGATAGCAGTCGTTTAGGCGTTCAAAAACATACATACATACATACAGCCTCACAAACTTTTATATTGGTATAGATAGATCAGACAATGGAAGCCCGAACTATTGGAATTCACCACGAACATAGTCAACCATCTTCAAACACACGTTAAAACTTCTTATGATTTTATACCACTTATATTTGTAACTAACGTTATTGCAGTTTCATCCTACTAGGGCATTTTCAAATACAATAATAATAATAATAATAATAATAATAATAATAA